TTTTTTTTTACTTCTTTTGGTGATGTTTAACTATTGAAGCTTAAGCAGGGGAAAGGAAACATGCTGGAACTATTGAAGCTTAAGCAGGGGAAAGGAAACATGATGGAAGTAAAACTGATATTTGGTTCACCTGGTTGGCTGCCTTCCAGCATCTGGTAGAAATGTATATGGATGGAGGACATGGTGTTGCTGATGAGGTATGAGATTATGGATAGATTTATGTTTGTTCATTCTTTGCCAACCCCCATATCTTGGGTCATCAGCCTGAAAAGGTGGTGAATATCCCTTGTTTACCAGGTAGTTTGTAATTGCTCTGGCTCTTTCCTTTTTGGCAAGAGGGCCCCAGTTGTACAGTTTATTTTCTCAGGGTCCCTGGTCTGCTAGTAGACCTCAACTTACCTGCAGTTCTAGCAAAGGAGACTTTTCCAAGGGAAAGATTCCTTCCTGTGCTTTGTCTCTGTAGTAGGATGGTAAGTTGGTAAAATTTATAAGTGGATGAATTCATTTCCTAATTTTGGGGGACTCCATTCTGTATATTTTTTATCATTCTAAAACTATGTGGTAAGTGTGAAAGTATGTGTTGAAAAAAATACTCAAATTTGTATTTCTTCTTCATCTTCCAATTCCTCCTTCCACACCACTATTCTGTTAAGCATAGGTCTGCCAGTGTTATGCTGTGGAGAAAACAACTCCACAGTCTTGGTTGCACAATCCGACAATCACTTCTTGATGCCAAGTGCTTGAGTGTTAACTCACTGTCACTAAAATCATGCCAGAATATTAAAAAAAAATGGATTTGAGCAATATTTGTTTAGATCTAAAGTAAGCCTCTATAATTTCAGGATGAAAAGTTATTTTTTCATTCTTCCCTTCATTTTTTTCTTCATTTTTTTAAACCAAAATTTATGTAGTGGAAAATAAGAAGATAATTGAAACATGGCTGCCCTTGGATAACTTACATTTACCAGAGGTAAGAGAATCATAAAATCAAAATGACTGTAGCTAATCCAAGTTAGTGGCCTGTAGGTAGATTCAAGCCATTGCCTTGTTCATGGGGTCCCAGTGGCTGCCATCCTTTATCCATTGCTGGAGCCTTGGGAGGACAGACCTAACAGAGCACAGGGCTCTGTAAAGTGAGCATTTAGATGCTTCTTTATTCTCTTCAGTGGCCCCTCAGGCTAACAAGTTATTGAGTAGCTACAGAATTTGGGTAGAAAGAGCTTGGATAGGAAGAGCTGGTGAGTCTTGGTAATTTCCCCAATGTTTGGAATCTTCTAAAGTAAAAGAGTCTTGTTAGAAATGGTCTTTTCAGTTGAGTGCTGACTGTTATGGCCATCGAGTCATACTTGCAGCTGATAATTGATGTGTGATCTTGGAACACAGTGAGTATTCCAAGTGGAGGGCTGCATGAGTGGTGGGGAGGGGTTTCCCCTCAGATCAATGGCCTTGCTTAGGAGAGTATTTTCCCTGTTTTTTAACAGGTAGCTATCATGACATTATGAAAGTGAATTTTCTCCATTGTCCCTGATTAGCTTCTATTTTTGCTAAATTTCTCAAAAGCTGTGAAACAGTTGGAGGTTCATCAAAGAAATGGCAATCCTAGAAAAGAAAACAATCTCAGTTGAATGTTTCCTGATATCCTTATGTCATCACATCTTTAAAAAGAAATTAATATTCAGCTTGTGGATTTTTTTTTCTTTTTAATTAAAAATGTTGTACTTTTTTTATTTTCTTAAAAATATAATTTGCGGCCCTCCCTGGTGGCGCAGCGGGTTAAAGCACAGCATATTTTTCAGGTCTCATAAATTTTGGGGGCTACATTTTTGGGGAAGAAAGCTTCAGTTTATTGTTCTAATTCTTGACTTTGCCTTATGACTCATATGAGCAAGATGCATGGGTTGTTCCCTTTCCTCGTTTAGGGGAGGAAATAGTTTTAACTATTTCAGAAAGCCTTCTTGCAAGATGGCGCATCAGAGTTAACATAAATTTTCCTTTTAGTTCCATCTGATACTTAAAAAATAAATATATTGACTGCCAGACATGAGTAAACTATTTCTCATCAAGCTAACTCTTAAGATATAAAGTCTCCATAGTATGTAAGGTTTGAAAAACATGAATTAAAATAATCCTTTAGACATTTGCTTTTGAAAAGGAGGGAAATGTCTGTAAATTGTGTTTTATTGTTCAGCTGAACTGTCCTCTAAATTTAAGGAATACAACTTTTTAATACAGTGGTGCAGTTCGCCCTGAGCATTTATATCTAACTTTCATGGTTATTTCAGGGTAACAGCTGTTTATATTCTTTTTAGATATATAGTATCATGTTCCTTAGCAGGCAATAAGTATATTATTTTTCTCTGGTTTTTAATAATAATTCTATCTGGAATATTTTTTGTGTTTATAATATATTATGAATTGTACTATAATAGCATTTATGTTTTCTCTTATTTTTATCTTTAAGTTAACCTTAATGAGCTCTTTTTCTTACACAAAACTATGGGTGTTATGCAAAGAGTGCTTCTCAGTTTTTGCTTCTTTCTGTG